TAATTTCTTCCATTATCACTATCCTTGTTTATTTAGTCATCGTCATACCATTGAAAACTAAAAAAAAAGAGTTATTTTTTTTCACCATGTAATTGTTCTCCACTTTCTGTTTTCTTTTTTATTTAATTTTTGTTACTTGTACTTTGTATTAATATCTATAATAACTAGTGTTTTTTAATCAAAAATTGTTGATTGTTAATATCAGAAATAGTATATGTTAAAAAACAAGTTTCATAAGAAGAGTCTTGAAGCACGAATTCAAATTGGAAAAACGAGTGGCGTAACCACGAGTTATTTTTTCAAGGTTTTATGAAACAAGCATTTTATACTATTTTTTAGGATTTGCTCTCTTTATGCTGTTTTTACACAAAAATATTTACTTTAATCAATTTAAGGTTTGTCATGACGTTTGGTAATGTCTTAATTTTAAAAAGTTAAAAGTTAAAAGTCGCCTTTTTCGCCGTTCTTTAATATAAATTAAAATCTATTCTTGATCACAGAAAGTAAGGATTTAACTGAAATTTCTTTGTTTTAATAAAAAAACTGTTATTTTTTAGTGTTTATGTGAAATTTTCTTCAACAAATCAAAGTACAATGCAATTTTGCTTGACACCGCTGTATGTTAAATCCATAATTGACCCTTTGAAGTTTTCTCCGCTCTCGTAAATATAAATTCGATACTTGTAAAGTTTGCAAAGTGCAGGAATCTCTTAGGGTAATTGGCTCGTATAAAAATGTAGGTTTCAAGTTTCTCTTCCAGAGGATGAAAAGATGGGTATAAATCAATAAATTTCCCGTACTTATGTAATAATATCGTCGATGTTTTCAAGCAGGCGTCTTGTCTCCATGAAAATTAAATGAGACAATATCCACTATCGCCACAAGAATGGTATATTCTGGAAGCCAATTTAAAAAATGTGACGTCATGTGAACATACACAATGTAAAATAAATGGAAATTTGTATTCATATAGAAAATTCAATATCCGGTTGCGTTGCAAAACTACGCGAATTTTTCAGGAAGAAAATTTCATATAAGAGATTTTAATACAATTCTCACTCTTTGGAGAGCTTGGGACTCGTTCAATACTCAAATAACAAATTAAATCAATTTGAGTATTTGCTCAACGGCCAAGGATCGAGACTAATGCAAACAACGCTCCCTTAAATTGGGGATATTGGATTTGCCCTCTTACAAGGGCAAGAAATAGTGAATAAATTTTTTTTTTGCTTACATGAATCGTGCAAGACGGCGAATCTCTTATCAGCCGTCACCCTCTTATCCCCCGCTGTCAATACCCTAGTGCTGTGCCTCTCCCTGTCCTCCTTCTTCCACATAATGGTGTTTTCCCCAATATCCCTAACCACGCACGTTATAAGAGCATCGTCGCCTTCGTATACGTGAACGGGATTAGTCAGACTGTCTCGCATCGAGGGCAATCCTGAAACAACACATACGTGTGAGAAAAAAACAAGAAAAATGAATAAATATCCTTATTATATCCCGAAAAAGCTTCATAAAAATTTATGACGTGCCCGACCATTTGTATCTTTCCCCCGTTTCTAAACACTCCTACTTTTCACTTTATGGACCTGTCAACGGAGGACATTCATCATAATAATAGTATTTACAGTTACAGCTACGCTTTTCCATTTGTCTTGTTCTTGTAAGGACGAGTTTTCATTTCCGGAAAGACGATGAGTTTCGTCAGGTTGGAATGGCAAAAATTTAGAAATAAATAAATACTACCAAGATACTGACACTAATGGAAAATACAAAAAATTAACAAGATTTAATTTTTGTGGTCACTTGAGCGACGAGCGTGAAGTGAGCTTTTATTAAAATCACAAAAACGCAGAAAAACGAAATATTTAGTTTGAAAAGTTCCGTTTGGTGTTTTTTTTTTTAATTGTTGCAAAGAAACATCATGCGTCAGTATCGGAATTTGTGTTGAGATTTTCAAAAGTGTTTATTAATTTAACTAGTGCAGTTAGTAGTGAAAAATGTGGAATGCTACTGATGAAATTGTTGAAGCAACGGAAGGAAGAAGAAAGAAACACAACGTTAAAACGCTTAGGCGCAAACATGGCCGAAAGATAAATCTTTTACTCGTGACATTTAGTTATAAAAATGATCACTTTTGTGACATTTGCAAATAAAATTTAATTTTTAAAAATTTTTATACAAAAATACAGGGTGAGTCATTAATGCAACATCATATTATTGAAAGAAAGTGAAACCGCCTCGACCAAGATTATTTTGAAAATTTGTGCTTATCAGATTTAAACACAATGTTTTGTTATACCAGGGAGTTGGTGACCTTTGTATATTGAAAATTTATATACAAAAATTTTGGATAGGTACTAATAACGCACTGCATCACCTGAATTTTTTTCAAGTATCAAGATGTTTCAGAATTTAGTTACAGTACCATACAAAGGTTTTTTTTTATTAAAACACCTATGTTTTTGCACTTTTAGATATAGCTATTGACACAGATATTTTTAACATAAACGGTCGGTCGTGTCTAGTTTTTAAAATAATTTGATTTCTCTAAGGAAGTGTCTTTTGTTATATTTTTTATTATTACAAAAAAAAATAAAGATTTTATTACATACAAAAAAGTGGCTGCAATACACTAAACATTATTAAAAAACTGGGTTTGTACTTTTTCCTCTTAAATTCAATTTTTTTCGTTATTGTAGCATTCAGCACTTTTCACTTTTTGTTATTTTTTTTCATTTTTTTTACCTTTTTCTATGCTTACTTTTGGAGTCTTATTTAGAAAACTTCTTCTTTTAAAAAATACAAAACATGTCGCATATACAAAATGATTTCTGCACTTCTTATTTAATAAAACAAATAACAATTTGAAAAAAAAATACAATTTTCGAGCTAAATACAGGTGCGCCAAAACTTGCGTCCTAGAGAGTAAGGTAAAATACCAAGAACATAAAAAAATGTTTAAAAAAAAGTATCTACAAAAATTTCGAAATTATGAGACTTTAAATTTTGCACTTTGACTCTATTTATTTCTGTTGAAAAAATATTTTTTCGAGTTTTTTTGCTACAGGTTATTAGAAGAGGAAATAAGAAAGCTGTAACCTAAATTGTAACTCAGTTCAATGTTATTTTTGGCTTGTATTGGCAAAATTTTTATACCTTCACTAAATAATTATAAAAAAATCATACAAGATCATCAGTATCATTAAATAGACGTAAAAAAGTCAAATGTCAAAAAATAAATGTCAAAATTTTTTGACTGATAGAATTTTTCGTGTTGCAAAAGACAGTTGAAAAGATTAAAAAAATGTCAAGAAATACTGGCTTACAAAATGTCTAGACTTGTAAAAAACAAATTTTCTTTAAAAAAATTTTTAAATTTAAAAAATGTCAATCGAGACTTTTTTAAAACATCGTGTTGCAAAAGACAGTAAGGGAGACTGAGGAAGTGTCAAAAAACACCGGTTTAAACAATATCAAGATTTGCAAAATAACGTTTAAAAATTTCTCAAACAGAAATGCCCAAATTTAAAAAATGTAAATTGAGAGTGTTGAAAACATTGTCTTACAAAAGATAGTTAGGAAGACTAAAAAATGTCAAATATCGGCTTAAAAAATTTCTATACATGCAAAAAAACATTAAAAATTTCTTAAAGAAATGCTTAAATTTAAAAAATGTCAATCGAAACTTTTTGAAAACATCATATTGCAAAAGACAGTGGGGAAGACTAAGAAAGTGTCTAAAAATACCGGTTTAAACAATATCTAGATTTACAAAAAAAAACGTTTAAAAATTTCTCAAATAGTGCTCAAATTAAAAAAATGTCAAAAATATATCTTGTAAAGTATATTGATTAATTTAAATCTTAAAATTAAAAACGATGTAATTTTTATTATTTAAGTATTAGGGTTGTAATAGGGCCTTCGTTAATTTCTAACAAATTCAAAATTTGTTGTTTGCTTTTCAGGCTATTGTTTTGCAAATATAACGTGTTGTTTGCTTCAAAACTTATTTTTGCTCAGCTGAATAAACGTCCAGTTTTGCTACATAAACTATCACTTTTACTCCTGATAATTTCTGGTAATTTTCTCTCTTTGTTGCTTCATTATTGTTTGGTTCGGACAATGTGACACTTTAAAAAATATACAACTTTATATATTCGGTTAGCTTTTTGAAAAATTTCTTGGGGAAAGTTTACCAAAGTTTTTTCAGTCACTAAACGGGTTGTAAATTTTTTTACTGAAGTAAATTTGGTATAGTATTAATTTTTTAAATATTTTTTTTAATTCAATTCAGTTAGGGCTGTTATGTGCAGTGAGAGCTTAAATTTTTTGAGAGCAAATTACAGCGTCTATGTCGAGCGGATTGATTCGAACAGGGTTTTTCACTCGGGGGAGCCACAAATTAAACAGATGGTATTAGCCGGCACGACAAGTGAAATTAAGAATTAAGCACGTCTTGTCGAATAAATCTCTTGAAAAATTCTGTTGATTCCACCTGAAACACTTTAATTAAAGAGCGTTCCGGTGATGGATAATTAATAATGGGACTCGGCGCACAATTAGACGAACGACTGATTGCTCTTAGTTTAATAAAATACCGATCAAACGGGCCGTAATTTGCTTTGGCTTCGTGTAAAAGAGCAATTAAAGAAAAAGGCTCTTTAATTATCATTGCTCTATTGCGGGCTGGGAGCGGTCGAGGTCCCAAAGGAGCCTGTATTAAATAAAAAACGAGTCGTTTTAAATTAAATGCTCCAAGTTTTTCCTCTCAAATAATTTATTTATGATTAGTTTTTATTAGTTTTGTTTAGGGAAGTTGAGTGTTTCAACACTACCCTAATCTTTTATCCACTTGTGTCGTAAAGTGTTGTTATCACGTCTGGAAACTGGCAACACCGGTGATGATAAAGTAGCCCATTAAATTTGTTCTGGAAGTTTTCACAACCAAACTTCTTTGTGTGGTGGTTTAACCAAAACTAAGATTCGAGATTATCATTTTTGTTAGTTCACTAAATTCCACGACCTCTTTAATCTTCACTCAGGAGTTGAGAGCCATAAATTGAAATAACAGCCCCATTTATACTCAAACAATACACCATTTTAAAAAGTAGTGTTGATAAATTATCATTCACCACTCGCAAACTTCCGAAATTGCGTTTTACGATGATGCAAGATATTTTTTCATTAAATAAATTCGCCCTTTAAATGGCAATTACACAGCCCCCTAGCGCAATCTCCACTGCGTAAATTTGTAATGCTGAATCAAGATAGCTGACGGGGGTGGTGTCTACATATCATTGCGGCGGCGGTATTAAATACCCGAGCTCCGGGGAATATTTATGGGTGACGTTATGTTGGTAACACTGCTGAAACGCGCACGTGAACCATCCATCTTGCCAGCAATATGTGCTACATTTAAAACGCTGATTCTGTGTTTTTATTTATAGAAAACGATAAAATAAAAAATTAAGCTGTTTAATATTGCGCAATTTTATCACTTTTAGTTAAATTAAATGCAAATACAAATTATATCAAAAGCTACAACAAATCCTGCTTTACAAATGTCCAAATTTTTACTTTTCAATTCTTATTAGTAAAGTTGCTAGAATATTTCAAATAAAAGCATATACAGAGTGAGTCTGCTAAGAGTATACAAGGTGCGCCAGAACTCGCGCTTCAGAGAGAAATGTCATGTAAGGTAAGACACCAGAAACATGGAAAAAATGTTAAAAAAACTCTATCTAAAACAATTTCGAAGTTATAAGAGTTTAAATTTTTTTTGTATATATTTTTGTTGGAAAAAAGTTTTTTTGCTACAGACTATTAAAAGAGGAAACAAGGAAGTTGTATCCTAAATTGTAACTCTGTTTAATGTCATTTGTGGCTTTTATTGGCAAAATTTTTGTACTTTCACTAAATAATTATAAAAAAATCATAAAGAAGATTATCAGTATCATTAAATAGACCTAAAAAATGTGGAATGTTAAAAAAAAATTGACGTACCCTGTATAACAGCATTGCCAGTTGAACAAAATGTGTCTCAGAAACAGAATAAACTAAATATTTTTTAACTCAGCCTGTATCTATGTTTAAAAAAAATGCATTGTATTGTAGAAAAATGTATACCTCTAGTGAGTCCTACCAAATTGTTGACCTTAAATGTTAAAATATTCAAAAAAGCATATAGAAAATTGATAGATATTTACCTTTTTGTTTCATAAGAAAAAAGATACGTTGTCTGTTTGCGTTTTTTGATGTAGGAGTTGTTTTTAATTTCGATGATTTTTTACTAAACATTTATTTATTGAAATAATTTATTTTTCTTCAGTTTTTACACAAAAATTAAAAATAACAAAAAAAATTTTGAGTTTAACTAAGAATTCAAGTAAGAACTAAAATCTAAACTAATGCCTTCTAATTTCTGACAAATGTCAA